TATACACAATGGAATACTACTCAGCCATAAGAAGTGGAAAAATCCAACCATTTGCAGCAACATGGATGGAGCTGGAGAGTATTATGCTCAGTGAAATAAGCCAAGCGGAGAAAGAGAAATACCAAATGATTTCACTCATCTGAGGAGTATAGGAACAAAGGAAAAACTGAAGGAACAAAACAGCAGCAGAATTACAGAACCCAAAAATGGACTAACAGGTACCAAAGGGAAAGGAACTGGGGAGGATGGGTGGGCAGGGAGGGATAAGGGGGGGGAAGAAGAAGGGGGGTATTAAGATTAGCATGCATGGGGGGGAGGGAGAAAGGGGAGGGTGGGCTGCACAACACAGAGAGGACAAGTAGTGACTCTACAACATTTTGCTAAGCTGATGGACAGTAACCGTAATGTGGTTGTTAGGGGGGACCTGATATAGGGGAGAGCATAGTAAACATAGTATTCTTCAGGTAAGTGTAGATTAAAAATTTAAAAAAAAAAAAAAAAAAAAAAAGAAAGAAAAGGGGGATTACTCCTTAACAGGATAAAACTATTGGTAAATCAAAGATCAACGCATGCTTTAAATATCCTTAATGTTGATCACTTAAAGGGTGTCAGATGATCAGCTATGGAGGTACTCTTTTCTGATAATATTCCTTTCTCTTAATTAAAAAAAAAAAAAAAAAAAGTTACTGTGTGCTGACCTCCAATGAGTTCTGCACAGTGGTATAGAGGGCATGTCAAAGTGTGGGCAAAGGGTCTGTTTGTTTCTACGCAGAAGATCAAGGCCTAGCTTGGATACCCAGAAAATGAACTAAGATACGATATGAGGAGGAGCTTCCGGCATCAGCACTCTCTGGAGGACTCGTGCCGGGGGATGATCATCAAAAAGCCTCCACAGGGATCCGGACGATGCTGCGGTTGTGGCTGCATCCAGCCCACCATCTCCTGGACTTGCCATAAGAAGGAGGAGGGAGATGTCTAGGCTGGCATGTGCATACAGTGAGACAACGAATTTGACTGGATCTGTACTGTTGGAACTCAACCAGGAGTTGGGAGGGGTGCAAGTTGTAGCACCCCAAAATCTCATGACTATAGACTATCTATGGTTAAAAGAACATATGGGATGTGAACAGATCCCAGAAATGGGCTGCTTTAATTTGTCTGATGGTTCAAGTACAGTTGGAAAATATCCATCATATCATAGATAAATTTTCACAAATGCCTAGGGTGCCTAAATGGTTTTCTTGGCTTCACTGGAGATGGCTGGTAATTATAGATTTGCTTTGTTTATGTCACCGTATTCCTATTATGTTAATATGTGTGTGCAAATTAGTTAGTAGTTTAAAACCTATACATACTTAAGGTACTATACAAGAAGATATGTCAAAGAAATAATCAATCCTCCCAAGTTTCCTTCATATGCTACATCTATAGCTTTTCTTCTTCCTTCCTAATTACAAACCTTAAATAGAATTCGTGCCTCATATCGAATTTACCGAGTATCATAATTCCTCCAGGTGGTAAAGATACCTCGAGACAAGTGCTGGGCATAGAAGCCACAGGGCATAAATCTGCAAAGAAGTAAAAAGCTAACCTTTGCAAACAATATGGCTTCTCTCTCACTTACCAACTTTACATTTCCCTGTATGGCCCCGGAAGATGACTGGTTAGCCAGAGACGGGTAAGATTCCTCAAGGGAGGAACAACCTAAGACAGGCACAGTCGCAGGGGGGCCATCAGGTGAGAATTTGGGGATCAACAGAGGTGAGGCTCAGAACCTCACCCCCCCTGCTTTGAGAGAAATCTTCTGCATCCGTGGATGTCTTGCTGCCCTTGTCTAGCCTGGATTAATACTTAGTCCATAGGCACACACCTGATCATCTGATCATCTACATTTGCCTTCTTACAGCACTAAACTATGTTTTCTACCTTTATCTTGCATCTACCTACCACTTCAGCATTTTATTAAAAATAAAAATAATAATAATAATAGGAGAAATGTGGGATCAACATATAAATCAAGTACAAAAATCAAATGAATATTCATATTTGACCTGATGGTTTATAGGTCATATTGCATGATCAAAACCGAAAGTTTCTGTGATGAATGCCCTTGTACTGTTCACCATGTAAGAATTTATTCACTCTGTAAGAATTCGTTCACCATGTAAGAACTTGTTCGTTATGCTTCAGAAGATTGGAGACTGACGAGAATTAGGCTTGAGATGGATTAATGATTGTACATTGAGCATTGACCCCCCTATACAGAATTTTATTGTTGTTAACAACCATTTGATCAATAAATATGAGAGATGCCCTCTCAAAAGAAAAAAAAATTAATATATGGTAGAATCATTTTATCTTTGAATTATATAAATGTTAAACATAAATTGATAGTGACTGGAAATATTCTTAATAGAAGAAAAATAATGCACCATATTTTCTCAAGGATGTCATTGAAATAACTTAAAAATTTTATTATATTCCTTAACTGATTACTTATTCAACCAAATATTCATTTTCATTATTTCACTATTAAAGGCCTGCTATGTGTATTGCAGTCCCCATAGTACTATAAAAGATAAAAGGTGTACAAATAAGGAAGAAGTAAAAATTTTAAAGTATTTATCATAGTCCATGTATTGTCATATGACTTCATAAAAAATTATATTATTGAAATAATTAACAGCCTTATATATGTATTATTAAACCAGAATCAGATAAGTTAACTTACAAAAGTCATGAAATGAGTGATACAATAGAAATTTGAAACTATACATATGCTTAAGGAATATATATATGTAATAATTATTATTACTCTCATATATTAGCTCCTATGTACCAAGTATGACAATTGCCTTACATACATCCCTACATTTGCTACTTTCCAGAAATCAGATTTAAGGCCATTATGTCCACATTATAGTTGCAAAGAATGTATGTAATTGTGATAGATTTTGGACAAAGTTGGGTTCAAATGATTTATGCAGAATGTTACAATAATAGATTTCTATTATCACTTTATCACTTAATGTCCTTCAGGTGTCTGGGTAAATTAATTTTTTAAATTTAATTTAAATTAATTTACTGGATCTGGAAGTTTGACATCATGTTAAGGGCAAATATGGTGTGGGTAAAATAAAGCTTTTCCATGGTTAAAAAAAAAAAAAAAAACCTTACCTCTGACTTTGCTTTTTGTCACTAGCCCTATCCTAGTAGATCGTGCTCTTCAGTTCTCCCAGCTCAGCCTGTTCTTTCCTCCTGTCCTTTCTCCCCACTCCATTCCCAGCACCTCCCCCAGAGAAAACTTCACCTTGCCTGTCTTACTTTCTTTAAATACATCACTGTTTAGAGGAACACAAGAGGCACTGCCCTTAAGTTATATCTTAACTCATAGAAATATTACTGTGACACTCATCAAATGTCTTTTATACCTTAAAGAAAAAATTGTTTTGCCCTTCCTTGTGAAAAATCAGACTGATAGAAAGGTACTAAAATAGAAAATAAAACAATTATTCCAGATAATTGCCACTCTGAGATGACTTGGCTATTTTAGATTTCTAGTTTTTCTTTAATTATTATATTCCTCATTTGCAAGTAGTGGGGTGGATGTGTGCTTTTTATCATTATAACAGATACCGTGTTTGACTCACAATGTTGTTTATTCCTATTGATAACATAGCATCTCTTCAATGTGTTGTTTGTGGGTGGGTTAGTGGGATGGCTGCTGCTCCTTTTTTTTTCTTTTCCTCTTAAGAATGCACCATAGAATGACTGTTGTTTCTTTCCTATTTCTGTATCTGTGACTTTTTTTCTAAGAGGAAGTTGAGATGCTTTAAAATACATACTCGTTGGTGACACACAGTCGGCCTTACCTCCTGCCAGATGCTGGTGTAGTGTGTGTCATGCCACTGAGCTGAGCTCTGTCAGTGTCCAAGCCAAACTAGACTGACAGTGCTTCCTTTGCAAAGTGAACAACTGTAGTTTTGCTAGTTATAATGGCAGGAAATACATGTCTCCTTGTTTGTACCTGTCCCTAATACTTTGGGTATCCCTTTTCTCCAACACTTAGTGTCTCCATGGCTGTGACTTCTGGAGCTTCCTGCTGCATTCCCCTTGCCCTTAACCATTCTCACTACTGGCCCCAGAAACTGATCTCTGGTGATGTAGTCATGGGGTACAGGGTAATATATTTGGTAGTTGATAGACCTGAGAGGTTGGACTAAAACAAAACTTCATCTGAACAAGAACTTACGGTAAAGCATTGTTAGTCTGAAGCATCCTTTTGATACTAAGTCTGCAGAGGTGAAGACAAGGTGGTGCTTTTAGCTTCCTAGTAAAGGGATGAGCTTGTCACTGTAATGTAGTAGACCTCAAAAAGAGCAATATATTTTACTACAAAAAAAGGGGGATTAAACACACACACACGAGCAACAGGTGAAAGAGGTGAACCTACTTAGGAGAATAGTAAAAGAGACCAGTTAGAGAAGGAAAAAGCAGGCAGTAAAGACTAGAATTGCACATCACAGTGGGATCATATCTGCTCCCTGATGTATTCCTAGCATTGTGTGGCAGATAATCAGTAAATATTGTTGAATGAATGAACGGGTAAGATGAAGAAGATAGGGTGAGCAGGACAGAAGTTTTCAGGAAAGGGGGTTGTTCTGTAAGTTTCTATCTTAATAAACCTGATATTAAAGAAGGATATGTTCATTTTCTTTTCGTCTGAGTGCTCTATCTTCTGGTATTGGAGAGATTGGGTCCTGTACAGTAACACTATGGTCTTGCTCATAATATCAAATGTCTGAACAACAAGTATTTCTGCCACCAAATATTGCATTAATACCTATCTGGAAAGTAACAATGAACACATGCAATACCTCATTTATGAGGACTTTATTAAATAAAAGGCCAAAATCTTATTATTAGATGAAGCATATGAATGAAAGATTGATTTTTCAATCATGGTTATGTGTGTGTGACCTTCTTGTTTCTTTTTTTAGGTGGCATCCTTAGCTGGGCCTGGAGGTCAAGTGGAAATTGAACAAAACTTTCTTAATAATAAATTAAAGACAATCACTGCTTATTTTGGGAACCTGATCCGAAGATCAGCTTCTGAATCATGACTGTGAGATGGTACAAGGACAAAAACATCATGTAGTGGTCAGAACATTATTCAGATGAGACACTTGGAATTTCTGTATTCACTGATGTTTTGTACCTATAGTCTTATATTACCATAAGAAATGGAAACTGCCAGAAGATTAATGAAGCATTTTGATATCTTTGGATAATTTACCTATGTATTTTATACATTAGGATAGTAAATGTCTGATATGGAAAAAGTAGGCTTTCCCCTGTGCTTAACATCAGTGTGTGTGTGTATGTGTGTATGTGTTTTAATTTTGTATATTTTGGTTTAACTTTGTGTTTGTGTTAAAAAAAGAACATGGTTTTTTGTTTTAAATGTAGAGAGATGAGAAAACAATGAGTTACAGTCTATCTGCCTACTTCTGCTGAAATAATGTTTCATACCTTTATAACCTTTAGAATAATGTTCTACCTTTAAGGGTAGAACCGTAAACAGTACAGAATGGTATGAAATGACAAGTAAAAGTTCCCCCATCCTCTTCCCCTACCCTTTAGTTATTTATCTAAAGATAACCACAGCTAGAAGTATTTTGTAATGCCTCTGAAAGACAGAAAGGAATCGCAATATACCCTATATACTTCTTTCCCCTCACTGATGCTCTGTTCATTCAATAACCCGCCCTTTTTCTTTTTTTACTTATTATATCTTTTTTATAAAATATATATATGTATTTTTTTTTTACTAGTATATCTTGAAGACCTTCCCATGTCAGTACGTATAGACAGACCTACCTCGTTGCCTTCAGTGGCCATCTTGTATTCCGTCTTCTGACTATGCCATAAGTGATTTAAACAGCTCCCTATTGATGGACAACTGGACTGTTTTCCTTTGTTGAATTATTAGCTATTCTGTGCTGTGATAGGATTGTCTGTTTCCGTCCACCCTCCCTAGCTCTGGGCATAATCAAACATTGTAATTTTTGCTATCTCATTTGTGAAAAAAATGGTATCTTTTTGTTTGTATGTGTTTCCTTAATTATGAATGAGATTTGAACATATTTTTATATATTTTGGTCTTTTAAAAATAAGTTTTGTCTTTTAAACTGACCGTCCTTATCCTTTATCTTGCATGGTTACCTTTTTTTTTTAATATGTGTGAATCCCTTGTACATTAAAGAGCCTTTGTCTTTGGTAGGTGTGGCAAATTCCAGTTTACTGTTGGCTTACTTTGTGACCTTTTTCCATATGTAAGTTTTACATTTTTATGCAGTTAGATCGATCAGTCTTTTTCCTCTGTTGCTTCTGAGTTTTTGTCCTTAAAAGATCTTTACTACTCCCAGAAAATACATACATTTATCCAAGCTTTTTTCTAGAACCTTATTACAATCTTCATGTTTTGGCTCCATCTGGAATTTGCCTTTTAACATCTTCTTGTTTTATCAAGTTGAGTGTTTTCAAATTTTCCATTGCAAAACAATATGAAATATATTGTTGGCAATGAAAGGAGAAAGAATATGTGTTGCTCAGTATTCATATAAAATGTATGTTCAGTTATTTTTACAAGTAGGTAAAAAGACAAGGACATAGGACTCTGGCCATTGGGGATTCCAGACCTTTATCTTTTAATAGTGTGAGCATGTTAACATTAAACAAAACATACTTTTGGTTGTAGTGGAGCAGAAGAACTTGAAATTGGGAGAATTTCCAATAAGTACTAGAAAAAAGTAATTATTAAATAAAAAACAACTTTGTTGGGGAATGGAGAAGCAATACTAGCTGTAGTCTCTTGAAACTTGACAGCATATGGCTGAGTGCCCTGCAATACAGAGCAGTCAAGCTGGTCGTTAAGAATTGAATTAATTTGTTATTAATTTATAATATCAAAATTGGTCAGTGTTCTTGGTTTTTATACTTTTTCATCCTGTGGCAATTGTGAGTAGTGAATAAACGTCACCATTTTTTAAAATAATGGCTACACTGGTCATACACAATTACCTGTATATGACCCCTAAAATTAGAATGTGACTCTATTTAACTTGGGATGGGAGGTGAAGGGGTAAAAGCAGATTTCCAAAAATCATCAAGTATTTTTTAGTTTTTGTCACTTAACTTTCATACATACACTTTTTTCCACAACATGCTTTTTTACTTGTATATTAATATTAAAACTAACTTGTCTTCCTGAAAATATATGAATAGGAAGCCTAACCAAAATCGAAATATTCCTGCCTGCTAATCATGCACAGATATAACTGATTTATAGATTTATTTACAGGTTATTAGTACTCAAAAGAACTTTAGTTGATTAGCAGCCCCCATGTTCAAATAAAATATTACCACAAAGTCAAATATGTAAAATAGATAAAAAAATAAAGCCCCTGGAGCTGCTTGGGATAAAAGAAAAGTGAGAAAGCTAGCAGCCCTTGTTCTAGTTCAACTGTCTTTTTTTTTCCTTGTTAAATTGCAAAACTTGTTAAAAACATTTTTTTATTGAATACGTATTTTAACAATTTAAGTAGTACAGAGTGAACCCTCACAAACGGACTACCTTCTCACATCCCCTACCTTATCCCCTGCCTTGAGCCCTTCCTCTCCAGCCCCATCTTCACATTCACATTCCCTTCACTGCCAACACTTTATATGCATCCTTTAAGACTTTTCCCTGTGCAGTGAATGCTTGTGCACATGAAGGAGTGGGATTATATTATTTTGACATTTAATTTGTTTTTAATTTAATATGTTTTACAAATTTTTCCAGATCCATATATACACATTTGCGCTTATCATTTTTAATAGTCACATAGTGCCAATCCATTAGAATTTCTTTAACCATCACCTGTGAACATTCAAATTGTTCCCAGTTTTTGTAATTGCAGATACTTCGAGGGTAGGTTCCAAAAGTGAAATTTTAGGTCAAAGGACATGCTTGCTTGTATGTTTGGTATGGCATACCAGTCACCATCCAAAAATGTATATTCTCACCAACTATGAGTGAAAGGGGCTTCTTTTCCCACACCTTGAAAAACACTGCTTGTTTTCACTTGCTGTTACCAATCTATCAGCAAAGTTACTTTAATTTGCATGTCCTGATTACTAGTGAGATATGAGCAATTCACATATTACCCAAATGCATGTGTTAAGTATCCAGTTTTTTCACCAGGTGAATAGCTAATTGCTACATCATTTTCTGTTAAATGAGGTAAATATTCTCCATTGATTTGAAATCTCACCTCTATGTGTAACTCTGTTTCTGGAATTCTTTGTGTTCTATGGCTCATTTGTCCATTCCTGTGCCCTATGTTCTTGATTACCATAGTCTTTGTTATATGTGTTGATAATTGCAAATTCCCCCATCATCAGTCTCTCAGATTTTTCTTGGCTTTTCCTGAGCATTTTTACTTTTTTAGATGAGCTTGAATTTGTCAGGTTCAATTTTTAAAATCCTTTGGAATTTTAATTTTCAGTTTAGGAAGAGTGTTATCTTCAGAGCATTGAATCTTCCTGTCCAAAAACTTAACATTTCCTTCCATTACTCTGATCGTCTCTTTAAAGCTTCATTTCAGTTGTGTAAGTCTTGCATTTTTTTTTTTTGCCAAGTTTATTGCTTGGTATTTTACACTTTTTGTTTGATTTTGAATGGGACATTTTTTGTTGTTACATTTTCTAATAGATATATTATTCATATGTAACAACGCTTTTGAGTTCTTATATCCATTCACCTTACTGAGCTCTTTTTAATAGTTCTTCTATTAGCTTTTCAATTGATTGATCTTGCTTTTCTACATAGGCAGTCATGACATCCACATGTGTGTTTCTTTTTGCCAGTATGTATGCCTCTTACTGCTCACTCTTACTGTTGCATTTTGGCTAGGACTGCCAGGAATGTTACAATAATGGTACTTATTCCTTGCTTTTTATTTTGCAGTAAAAGGATAGAAGCATTGCTATTAAATCTTACTGTAGCTTGCATTAAAATTAAAGACTTCTCTCTTAGACTTTTTATTCTTATTGAATACTAAATTACTTAAAAATTTTCAAATTATTTAACCATATCTGCATTTTATCATTAATTCTGCTTTATCACAATGTATTATTTTAGTTTACTTCTGCACTTCACTTGATAAATTTACTTTATTTAATTTGTGTTTATTTTCTGTGCACCTTGCTGGGGTTTGGTATCCGAGTTAGACTATTCTTGCAGAATGCTTTGGGGAGTCTTCCTTTTTTTCCTGTGTCCTAAGTTGCATTAGTGTTATCTGTCCACAGAACCCTTGGTAGAACTCCAGGAAAATTGAACCTGATACCTCTTTAAGCAAGATACTTTGATTGTAGCATTTTTAAATCATCTTTTTTAATCAGGTTTTTAATGCCTTCATAAAAAATTTTTTTAATGATTTCCAGTTACGTGGAAAATAATCCATTCACTTAGATTTTTGTTTGTTGATGTAAAGTTAATACATTATCTTGTTCTATTTGCTTTCATTCTTTGATTGTTCATTTTATTAAAATTTCTGTTAGAAAAGGGTTGAAAAATTATCACAAAAAATGTTTTTATATAATTCACTCTTTTCCCAAATGTTAGTATCTTATCTAAGGCTACCCAGAAGTGGACCCAGACAAATTCTGGGGGAAACAGCAGAGGGATTAGAGCGGCAACGAGATATGCTCCCTAAGCCCTCATCTACCTGCCAGGTCACAGCCTAACCACAGAAAGGCAGGACTTCAGCCAGGCCAGTGCTCCCCAAACTTCAGGCAAAGTTGTCGGCTACCATCATACTGTTGCCACATCTATGTTCATATGTTCACATTTTACTGGTAGTTTTTTTCAACTCAGCTAATTTTCTAAAACATAAAATTTATTTAAATTTCAAGTACTGCCATAAATGAGAAATCACTACCCCTTTTAATATTTGTACATTAATATAAAAATGTTCATCTATTTAATTCCTAAAAGAATGCTACATACCACACTTGAAACAATAGACTGGATGATGAATGATAAAGATGGTACAGTCCCCTGTTATTTATGTAAGGAGCTGGGGAGTATAACATGGTGTGCATACCATGAAAAGGCTGCCCTTTGAACAGCATGGTAAGTCATCACAGGACGAGGTAGAGTAGTAATTTTCCAGGTTAACAAGTTGGGACAAGACATTCTGAGGAACGAAACAGCATTTAGAAGATACATAGGCAAAAGAATGTTACAGTTTGGCATCAGTAAATGTGACATTCATGGAGAAGTTGCAGAAGAATAAGCACGGTGTGCTGAGGAGTACTGGCTATATCCTGAATACAGTGGGAGCCTTTTTTAGCATTTGTTCATCACATCAAATGAAATCTGCCGGAGGGTCTACTAGCTACCACAATTTCCAAGTAGTGACATGTAAATTGTATTTCAAGAAAGTTGTGACAACTACTTAGAGTATTACATGAAAGCATCTGTTTCTGTTGATGGCTGAGCACAGCTAAGTAGGAACTTGGTTTTGTTATATGTTCCTAGACCACCTGATTTCTATCCATGATCCCTGTAGGGCTCCAGAGACTCTGGATGAAGAGCCCACCTTAAATGTATCTCTCTAACCCAAGATTTGGCCCTGAGCAGAAGCAGGAGGAATGGGAGGAGGCCCTCACCCACAATCAGTGACGTGTGTATGGTGATGAGGACCAAGGCGAGCAGCACATTGGAGAGGGTTTAGGAGGTAGACTTGCAGGAGAGGCTGGTTAGAGGCAGCCCCACATGCAAGTCCTTACTCTCCCCAGTGGACATTGAGTTCCTGGAGGCAAAACTATCTTTTCTGCAGGAGAAGAGGAGATTAAATCTTCATCTTGGATTTACAGGCATTCTGTAATTGCAAGATGCCTGGTAGAAATATTGAGGAGTACTAATAAGAGTCATCTATATCAGCACCGTGCAATGGGACTGTAACATGAGCCACAAATGTAATTTAAACTTTCCATAGCCACATTTAAAACATAGAAAAGAACAGGTGAAATTAACTTTAATAATATATTTATATTGAAAATATTATCATTTCAACATGTAAATAAACCATTAGGAAGATATTTAACTTTTTTTTTTTTACTAAGTTTTCAACATCCAGTGTGTATTTTAAAGTACATCTCAGTTTGTACCAGTTACACTTCAATTATTTAGTAGCTACATGTGGTTAGTTAGTTGCTAATGGCTCCCCTTGAGATAGTTCTGGAGAACAAAAAACACTTTCATTTTGAAGTTTTGGGTATGTTAGAATTAAATGTAAAAATGCTTAGGAATTTTAAGATTTCATCCTTAGCTGGGAGTGAGCCATTGGAATTTAAGCTGGAAAGTGAAATTATCAGATTTGAATATTAACAGCATAGGATGAAATATTATAAAAGTTTTCCTCCTTCCAACTAGAAATATGGTTTCAAATAAGAGCTTATGAAGTCCTAAGTTAAGGTTGTGATAGCTTAATTGTCCCAATTGAAATGTATTCATGATTTTTAATCCTTTAAATAATGAAGAATTAGTAGCAGATTAAAAATAGTAAGTGTATATGTTGAAGGTTATTGTATTAAACAAGCCACTTGTTTCTGAGCCTAGAGTAGCCATGGATATTGGATGAATTTGCTTGAGCTCTTTCAGGCCTGGCAGCCTCTCCCTGAAAGCTAGTAGAGAGGAGAGGCTCCATCAGAAAGGCCATCATTCTGGGGAATCCCTTATCAACTTGTACTACAGCAAGAGGCAGTAGGACTGTTTAACTCTATTGTAAGGTATGCCCCCTTCATTCAAATGCATTTTCTTTAAATTATTTTCCTAAGAAATGGATATTTAAAAGGCATCTAAACATTAATTTAAATAGTATGCAACAGCAAGAAATATATTTTTCCCCAATAAGCATTTATTAAATAAGCTTGCCAGGTGCTTCTAGACTTTGGATTCATAATAACAATTAAAGCAACTTTTATATTACCAGTTTATATTTCATCAGTTAACAATTTAAAAATAGTAACATCCAATGCTAACCTGTTCATGGTAAAATAATTCACTCATTCACAGTGGTTTCACTGGAACTCTCATTTATTCATGGGCTGTTTGTCATTAGTGTCTTTTGCAAAAGCAATGGAAAAGAATCTGAGATGGCTTAGAACCCTTTAAAGCTCACCTGAGACTCTGGTCACCACTCCAGGATTTAAGTTACAGAAGGTACCTTTCATTCTAAATACAGTTTATCGTCCCTGGTGTCTTGTCTATTGCCTTATCTCTGGATTTTGCTGTTCCTCCCAGGCCCTCCACGTTGATACATTGATTGGACTGGCTGCACAGTTGTCCCTTTCCATTTTGCCTCCGGACATGACCTTCATCCTTCCTGGCCTCTTGATCCTGGCCCATAGTCCAATCCAGATAGACTCCTTTTGTGTAACTTTTCTGACTCCTGAGGATCTATCCTAAGGAAATACTTTAAAGGGAGAAAAAACAAAAGGCATATACTTGAGGACATTCATTGCATATAAGGAAAATTTTGAAAACAACCCAATATTCCATAAAGAAGAATAGCTAAGTAAATTGTATCATCACTCATATAACCTTATACAACTATTTGCATTTAACTGTTAAGACCATGAAAACATAAATGCATTTTTGCAAGGTTTTACAGTTCAAAACAATCTCTGTGGTATAATCTCTAGCACAAAATAGCACACTCTGAGCGCCCCCCTTCTTAGGTCTTGCTACCACCTCTTGGTTGATCACAGTAGGTCCTGTGATTCCTGTCTGCTCTTTCATGCACAGCGATACTGTCCTGCTCTGTTCTTGTTCAGCCTCAAGACAAACACTGGAGAAGAGCCCAAGAGAACTAAGAGTGGCTGGAAAGGGTAATTTCAAGTTCTGCCCTTTGGGACCAAGCCCATTTGGGCTGTTTATTCTTCTTTCTCTCCCTATTGCATGGACTCAACACATGTACTTACTTATGCCCACAAAATTAACATCTGTGCCAGAAAAGATACCATTCATTAGAATGGCCCCATGCTCTTCTGTTGGAGAAAATGTAAACCAGTTTAAAGCAATTATTGCTTATCTTATAAGAACTGAATTTCCCACAAAGAAGTTTTTATTTTTTTACTTTCTCCTCAGATTCTAGTGGCAGTCTTGCCAATTGGTATTGTTCTCTCTAGAGAGAAATGGTTTCTAGTTGCATTTTACCAGACAACTGTAACAGCTGAGACACCATCTGTTTTGAGATTTTTATAGTATAGCATATGAAAATAAGACCAGCAAACAGTGTAGCATGAAAAGAGACATACAAAAAATTGGATAAAAAGCCACAGAGTAGGAGAAGTAGAGCTGTGTACTGTCATTAGATAATCATTAGTGCTTCCTACTAATACCAATAATGAGACATTAATAACCAATTTACCTTTTCATAATTATTTCTCTTTGGAATTTTACATCATTTTGCAATAGTACCTTCCAAAATCTTTATTAGTGGACAACCTAAGGTAAGGTGATGTCTTCAATGTAAGGTATAATTGCTAATGAGTAAACAGCCTTTATGAGGCTCTCCTAGGGATCCTTGCCTCCTGGTGGTCACACCACTGTGTAAGTCTCCTCCCCATTGATGTGGACTACACCTATTAACTTTTCTAACAAATAGAATTTGGTGGAAGTAAAGAAAATTAGTTCTAAGATTCCGTCACAAAAAGACTGGCTTCCATTTGGGGATACTTTTTTACTCTTGGATTGCTCACCCTGAGAGAAATAAGCTGCCATACTGAGAGGCCCCTGTGGCAAGCAACTGAGGCCGGTCTACAAGCACAGGAGTGAGCCTGAAAGTACATCCCTCCTCAGTGGAGCCTTCAGATGAGACCACAGCCCCGGCCAACAGCTCAACTGCAATCTCAGAGACTGTGAGTTAGAGACAGCCAGCTAAGCTGCACTCAGATTCCTGACCCACAGAAACAGGTAAACATGCATGCTGTTTTAATCTGCCAAGTTGTGGGATTATTGGTTTCATGGCAGTAGAAAATGGTAACCAAGCCATGGAGGCTACAGTTCCACTTGGTTGACCAAATTAAGTTTTGGCTTATCATGGATATCCTACTTAATCAGCCAGACTTTCTAACTAATAAATAATTGGTGAACCATCTTTTTGCCACTGATTCTCACTGACAATATTGTTGTTTAGGCCACCTTCATCCCTAGCACTGATGGTCTCCTAGCTCATTTCTGACTCCAGGGATGTTGCCCATCAATCTTCTAACTGCAGCCAGAGCAAGTATTCTTTCTAAATTCTAAGTCTGAACCCATCTCTCCCAACCTAAAATTCTTTAATGGCTGTTCCATTCTTCTCTTTGCCCCAGGAAAAACCTTGAGTATCACTCCCGAATCCTCTGTCACATTGCCCCCATGGCACAATCCAGTGCCTTCCATGACCTGGAAGGTCAGCTCGGCCTAGCTACTGCTTAGCACCAGTCTCGCTGGTCACCCTCCACTCCTCATCCTGCCACCCAGCCCTGATGGTGCTGCTCTAACTTCCCCCAGCTTTTGCTCATGCTGCTCAGCCTTCCAATATCTGTTCAGACATCACTTCCTCAGGAGGCCTTCTCTGTCACTTCCTTGCCTTTCAGTCCCTGCTTTCAACCATCTGTGGGATCAGTCCCTCCCCTGCATTGCTCACCCAAAGACCCTTCACACTGTCCTATGACAGTTTATGAACCACTTCTTTCAGTTGAAGCATTGAGCAGAAAACCTCTGCTAAAATGTAAAAACCCTTTATTGATCATAGCCTTTTATAGCTTCAGCTAGAATAGTCACATCATTGCCTTTTGGACTTTCCTGGAAAGATGGCAAAAAATTCTTCTTACATATTGCACCATTCAATACATGGCAAGTATTTGTAGTGTCATCTCGTTTTCCAGTTTAGAGAAATTGAGGTTAACCGAAATCATGTGATGAGTTAGTTTCAAAATCAAGAACAGCACATGTAATTCTTGAATCTCCGTCTCCTGCCCCGAGCTCTTGGGAGCGCTTGCTCACTTACCCACTGACTTCCCCTTTCTGCCTACGAGAAAGGCAACACCCACCTAGAATTACGAAATACTATGTATGCCTCATACACACTCTGGCAGGCTGAACATTTTCATCAGATCTGGGAAATCATATCCAACAGGACTATTAAAAGTAAATTTACTTTTCCTATTCTATTAATGAAAATGACAAATTAGTGAGATTTTCGCATCACCATGAGGCCAGTAGTGCCAATTCTGAGTACACTTTCTAGCCTTGCTCTGTCAGATGTTTTACTGTTCATACACGAAAGGAGAATTTTAAAGACCAAATTTTCCTATTTACTACTTTTCAAATAATTATTAAACTTACGTTAAACTTTTTATTTTAATTTCTTCTTAAAATAGTATTTTAGGTTTTGAATTATGGTAACCGCAACGTGACAACTTTTAAAACTCTCTCACCCTAGAAGAAAGAGACGTGCTCCAGCTGAAGAAGTAAGCCATGAATCTTGAAAAAAATCTGTAATTGAAACTACATATTTGGGCACTTGGAAAAAATAAAACCTGCAAATCAGTCTATCTCCTTCCAGAAAATCTTTATAGCAGCAACTTTATGTTGTGTCAATATCTGTGTGTGATGCTCTCATAGTTCTCATGTACCTTCACAAAGCTGGCTCTCTCCCTGGTTTGCCTGTAAGACCCAGGAGAATGTTTAGTAACTGCTCATCCCTGTCTTACACAGGAGCAGAGATTGAGAGAGTTGCAATGAATCCACGGCCAGGCTTGCCCCTACTTCTTGGAAGACTCAGGCCAAGATTAACAATAGAGGCCCACATCCTGTGTGCCTCTCAGTGTTTTGATGTTGGCAGTATGTGGCCTGGGGCCTAGCTCTAAGAGCAGATTTGTTATTAAGAGCTAGAGCCACAACTTCAGTTCAGGTCTTTTAAGCCCAAATCCAACACTCAGCTCCTGAAGTAGAATCACGTCATAGGCAGAGGACAAGGCTCATAAATCAGTACCTGAATCAATACCCCAAGTCAGTGGATGATAAGGGAGGTTTTAAGTTCTGACTTGATATTCCCTAAATTGTCCTTTGAAGGAAGTAAAATATACATGCCTTTGCATTAATAACCCATGCACTATCATAGAGGATATTTCTAGTGGTTACCAACCTATCAGCCATTCCTAAAGGATCCTGAATTCCCCTGCCATGTGACTTGGGTGGACGGACTTTAGCCTCTGTTTTAAGGGTCAAAGCCAATCTGGATAGTCCCAGCTGTCCTTTCACAACAATTTGATCAGAAGTGGACACACAGTTTAAGTCCTTTCTATGTACAGGAAGATAGGAGTTGCTCCATATGGTTGAGAGGATGTAAACAAGAAGCAATAGCCCCTGGGTAGAACCACTGCCAAGAATAAACCACAGCCACAAATCTCTGGGTCCAAACCACACTGCTGGTGAACTCTACTTTGTAATGAATTGCCTTTATTAGCAAAGCCAATTGCATCAGATTTTTTCTTCTTGCAGCTGAGGGCATCCCAACTAAAACCAGAAATACACAGAGTGCCATCAACTTCCTGTGCACAAGATTCACCCATCAATAGTAAAGGCCTAAAAACCACCAGCCATGGCTTTGAGTACTCCCACCATCATATGGAAACAGTCCAGAAAAACATGGGTAAAGAATAAAATGTGTGAGAAAGTAGAAGGGCCCACCAAGGTAGAAGAGATCTCTACTTTCTTTGCCACTACTTCCCAGTCCCAAAGTGTGGGTTACCATCCCCCCCAGATTTGGGGAGCCTTTTCTTCCACATGAAAAAACAAAGATGGTTCATTTTTAAAATGAAGGAGGAGGGAAAAAATGGAGTGGAGCATGTGGGTGACATCTAACTCATGTCCACAGGTGCACAGTGTATATATCTAAGTATTAAAAAACCATCTGATTCCACTAATGCGAGGTACCTAAAACAGTCATATACACAGAGGCAGAAAGTAGAAGAGTGGCTCCCAGAAGCTGTGGGGGAAGGGGATGGGCAGTTAAGTGTTTCATGGGTACAGCATTTATGTTAGGGATGATGAAAAAGGTCTAGAGATGGACAGTGGTATTGATTGCACAGTGTGAATGACTTAATGCCACTGAACCATATACATGTTGAAATGGTAAGTTTTATGCATATTTTACTACAATAAAAAAATACAAAAGTATAAATATGTACTTGATTTACATAAAGGTAAAACAAGATTTATGTAAGGGTATACATTAATATTTATAATACATATTATTACATAATTGTACAACTATAGTTTTTAATGTGGTCTTATTTGCATCACTTCATTGAACTGTTTGCCAGGCCAGCCATTGATCATTACATGGAGCAGAGTAGAGAAAATGGATGACATCAATATAAGTCATCAGGGCTGGGAAATGGCTCCATGGAGCCAACTCCAACT